GCTTCACGCAAAATCGTGAAGCGTTCCACATTTTTTTAACAAATATAAATAATGCTGTGAATCGGGAAAGAATAGGAGTTACGGATAATTATTACGTGAAGCGTTCCAACATTCACGTAACAGGATATTTTGGTAGGAAAGGATTGAGAAAAGATTGTGGAGAGGAATTTCTTAATGTGAGTGTATAGAATATGCGAGAAAAATGTTATATATATATATTATAACACCTCTCCCTGATCCCCGTGCCAAGTGATCAGCGAGCAGGGTTAAGAACAAATATAATATACAATCATTAATAATAAGATTATAATTACCGTAATCTCAGGCGTGGACAAAATTCACCGGGCACGCGGTGTACTTATTAAACTACTTATTACTAAATAAAATCAAGGATATTTATACGTATTTTAATAATACAATATTTATAAATAATTACATTTTATTGATAAGAATATTCAATGAGTTACATACTATTTAATAAAGAACTAGTGTAGAAAAGCAATAATAAAGAGAGTTATCTGAAAAGGCTAGAGAGGTTGCCAGAAGGGCCTAGAACCGTTTAGAACAGAAAGAGAGGAAAATACTCACGTATCGTTTACTAATCAACAAGAACCTTTAATATATCAACCATTATTAATTAATAAACAGGAGTATAAAACTTACAGTTGGTATTGTACGCCTTGACATCCTGGTAGACAACTCACAAATTAACTAATATAAATTTTATTAACAAAACTGTGATAAATGTACGCTTAAGGGAAAAGATGTTGTTGAGTAGAGTGAACTCCTCTGAATGAATCAATCTGCCCGCCTCGATAAGAAATGAGGGCCTCAGGCCCTACTGAGCAGCGACAGCGCGCATGGCTCCGAAAGCAACCGACCGACCCGAGGCTTCTGACGAAAAGATTCGGGGTATTCAAACCGCCCCGTTACATTTCCCCGCCACCAGACAAAAGCCTCGGGTCCAACCTAAAAATGGAACTATAACCTAGAAATTAACTCACATTTAAACCCTTAACCTTCTTGTGTCTACTGCGAGTTATAATAATGAAAATATAAGAATAACAACTAAATCTTAGACACGTCTTCCACGCATGGGAGTACGAGCAAGGTGAGAGCCATCTACGGGAGTCAGGACCACCCAGGGTTCCAAAACACCTTGTTGAACAGCCGGAGCCAATCGCGAGGACGTTTTAGCCCTCTTGGCCAGAGTCTCCATGGATGACCGGTGACGTTGAGCAGCATGCCGCGTCACGGTCTCAAATTTGTTGAGGGAAAGGGAAACGACGATGCGCGGACGTTCGTTTGACTTAAAATGAGAAGCACGAGTAGGCACCAAATCGTCCAACAGATCTTCTCCCAAGTCCACTTCCTCGTCAATGTACAACACATCCCCGTCGTTGTCTTCAAGACCCGTAGGGGCTGGTACGACCTTCACTACCGGCTCTTCTTCAGCAGCAACTGCAGGAGCTACAGGATCAGCTCCCTCAATAGTAAAACGGCTCCAGTTTCCCTTATGTACGGTCGACAACCAACGCAGTTTGGTAGATGGACGATGGTATTCCCAACCCAATTTCAGAAGGTGAGCTGGAAACGGTGGATCGAAATCCCGCAGCAGCCGGCGATGAGCCACCAGGCGACGCTCCGAGCGCAAGTGCGTGCGTACTTGGGCCATGGTTTTAAACCGCCCAGGCGTCCTGTAGAACAGGTCATATACCTGCTGCTCTCTCTCCTGCCTCTGAAACAGAGAACTTTTTTGTCCTGTTACTTCGCCGAGGAATTTTTAAATCGGGGAGATAATGGTTACCCAACGATTTACCTGAAAGATCCACAAGCCCTACTACTAAGGGACTAAATATTTTACTAATAGTCGCAGGACCTAAAAACTTATAAGCTAGACTCGCACAGTACTTATCGACTTTCTTACTGTTTTCTATTTGGGTAATAAACTTGATCTCCCACCTGAACCTCTGGTAACGATTTTAACCCCTTGTCGTGATATCGCGCTTGTCGTTCACTCTCCTTACGCATCACCAGCTCTACCTTATGTCGCAATTGATCCAGACGATCAATTCTAGCCTTCCAAGCCTCAGAGTCCAAATCAAGATCTTCGATCTCAACTCGGGAAGGTTTCCCAGACAGACGTGGTTCTCTACCATGTGCTAAATAATAAGGGGATAACTTTAGAGACTGGTGATAAGAACTGTTATACGCGAGTTGGAGCTCACCCAGGTGTTGATCCCAAGTAGTTTGTTCTGTCTCAATAAAAGCGCGTATCATGGGTTTAATAGTTCTATTTATCCTCTCGACAGGGTTACTCTGAGGATGAGCGATCGCAGTAGGAGTCGATTTCACGCCCACTGTCCTCAAATACTCTCTCACGGTTTCATTTATAAATTCCTTTCCATTGTCAGTAATTAAAATCAACGGATACCCCCAACGAGAGAATACCCGGTTAAAACACTTCTTTACATTCTGTCCCATTTGTTTTCTTAATCTAAATACTTCAATAAAACGTGTATATAAGTCTTGAACTATTAAAACGTATTCATAACCTGACTTAGAGCGAGGGAAAGGACCCGTGACGTCCGCCGCCACGATGGCCCAAGGCTCGATCGGCTGTCTTGTGCGCATAGGCGCCTGGGTGGAAGTCTGTTTGTATTTTACTTTCTTGCAGACCTCACAAGCATTTACAAAGTCATCTACGTCCCGGTACATTCCGGGCCAATAGTAGTGAATGCGCAACCGCTGATATAATTTCTCACGGCCCAGGTGACCAGCATCAGGCACATCATGATTTGCCTGTAACACAGCCTTAACCTCATGCTCTTGCAATACCTTCTTCCAGGCATTCTGATCATCCAACACGCCTTTTAGATAGTCAGGTTTAAAATAATACAATCGGTCTTCTTTAATCTGCCAATTGTCAAATAATTCTGGTCTTTTGCTCACATTTATTTTCTTCATCTCATACCAAGTCGCAGTCTTGATTTTGCAACACTCAACCTGCTTCTTTTGCAACTCTTCCATGACCTCAGACCACTCAGTAGGTTCTTGGTCTTCATATAACCTTAAAAGGGCATCAGGGCCCTCATTTTCAGTACCCCGACGATGTTCTATCGTTATATGATTCGAGAGAAGTTCCATGGCCCAACGAGCCAGTCGACCGTTGGGATCTTTCAACGAATGCAGCCACTTCAGTGATGCATGGTCTGTAACTACCGTAAAGGGTGTTCCCTCCAAGTAACAACGCAACTTGCGTACAGCCCAAACAACGGCCAGACATTCTTTTTCTGTCGTGGTATATCGGGTTTCTGCGCCTCTCAAGGGTCTACTCAGACAAATTATTAAATATTCCTTATCAGAGTCCGTTCCCTTCTGAACTAAAAAAGCTCCGAGTCCTGTGTCACTGGCATCAGTGTATAGGACATATGGAAGATCAGGTTTCGGGATGGAAAGAGGCTTAGCATCTATTAAAGCTCGTTTCAACTGCTGAAACGCTTGCTATTCTTCTTCACCCCACTTCCAATCAACATTTACGCTGCATAATTTGTTCAGAGAGCCTTGTACTTTCCCCACATTCTGTAAGTGACGGTGATACCAGTTAACGAGTCCACAGAAACTGCGAACTTGCTTCCTGTTCGTTGGACGAGGGAAATTTATCACTGGAGCAATCTTCTCAGGATCAGGGCGCAGCCCGTCCTTGTCAACAATAAATCCTAAAAATTTCACTTCGGATCTCGCAAATTTACATTTATTCGGGTTAATTTGTAAACCAGCTTCGCGGAAAACTTCAAAGACGAGGGCCAAGATACCCTTATGCTCCTCCAAATCTCCACTGATAATCACCCAGTCATCTAAATAAGCAAAGGCCTTATCAATCCAAGTACGGGGTAGACCCTCTCGATGATCAGTTTGATATACCGTTCTTTAAGGTTGTCCATCGCTTTCTGGAAAGTAGCTGGCGCCCCAGCTAAGCCATAAGGCATGCGGACCCATTCAATCTGACCTCGACCTTCCACTGCAAAAGCCGTCAAAGGTATTGACTCCTCTGCCATTAAGATCTGGTGAAAAGCTTCCTTGAGGTCCATCGTACTTATAATCACAGCGTGATGTAATGCACTCAGTACTCTTAACATATTTGGGAGTGGGTGTGCTGGAATTTGAGTGTACCGATTGATTGGGCGGAAGTCCACACAAAATCTCCAATCACCAGTTTGTTTTGAAACCATGACGGGGGAACAAGACCAGAAACTATTACTGGGCCTTATATAACCCTTTTTTAACAATTCATCAATCTGTTTATTGAGCTCGGCGGAAACTACGGCACTCCAACGATAAGGGCGCACTCTTACGGGTTCAGCACTCGGTTTGAGTACGATCTCATGTCGAACTAGATCTATTAAACCTTGATTTGGTATTGCCGCGAATTTGTCCATTTCAAATCTTAAAAATTCCTCGAACTTTTTACGCTGGCTTTCTGACAAAATTTGGCACAAAGTTTTATCGTCTTTACGTTCAATTATCTCAAAAGGGTATACTTCACTGGAGTCCTTAAATTTCCAATGAGCATTGACACAATCACTTTCAATTCCAAACTGAAGGGCAAAATCCATTCCGAGAATTATTGAGTGACTAAGATCCTCCATGACACTTAAATATTGTTGACCAGTGACTGAGCCTATTTGTAGGATGAAATCAGCTCCCCCAAGAGTCTTACAAGACGTGTTATTAGCTAACAATACACCCCTCTTCGCCGTATCGTCTTGATGCAAATCACTAGTACCATATTCTTGTATCTGCTCAAAGGTTTCCGTATTTAAATACGATCTTTCACTCCCTGTGTCTATAATACCGTTCACCTGGACTCCAAATACCCATAAGGATACTGGAATTCTAGCTGTTAACTTAGATTCTGTTTTAGGTATATAAGGTGGACAAGGAGTTAGTCGATTTATGAAATGAGCAGGTAAACCTTTGCCTCGCAACATCCCAGACGCGTGAAAAGTCTTAGAGAGTGCTGAACATCGTGAGAGAGGAGGAATAATTCGGAAATCTGGCTCGTCAAAATCAGTTTCAATGCCAGAATCAACTTCTGGCTCCCACTCTTCCTCCTGCAGCTCATCAAGGGGTTCTAACCCACAGATATAATAAGCTTTTACATTATCAACCGCACTGGGTTCTATTAGTTCATCTGGTCCAATATCTTCTACTTCGTGGTCAAATCTTGTTTCATCCAACAGCTTCACAGACTGACAAATTGTAGTAGCGGATAAATTTGTTAATTCTTTTGTCCCAAAATTATTAAAAACTTCTTCAATAAAATCACCAGTAGACATGAAAGTCTCTGGGCTCTTCGAGTTACTTAAAAGCCGTGCCTCTACCTTCAGGCCTTCCTTTAAGTAAGTCTGAGCTTCAACATTTTTAAAAACACATAAACCAGACAAATTATCATATATTTTGCAGTAGTCATTAAAACAATTGTCAATATCGCAGTTAAATTGTACGGATTCTCCAGTGGCATAATTTTCGCTGGGCCCAAATGCGCGGGACTCGTCGCTCTCAGGCTCCCAGATGAGCAAGTCAGAAGTAGGTGCGCGTGTCTCGTCGCTCCTGGCTTCTGCTATAATTATTTCAGAAGTAGATGCGCATTTCTCGTCGCTCCTGACTTCTCCGATAGTTATTAAATCGGGTGCGCGGGACTCGTCGCTCCCTGATAATAAATTACTGATTTCCGGACCAAATGCGCGTGACTCGTCGCTTCCGGATCTCGGAGAACATTCAGACCTGAGTGCGCGTGACTCGTCGCTCTCAAGATCAATTAAATTTACTTCTTCAGATTTATTTCTTTTTAACTGCCAATTGGTTTTCCATTTTTGAAATCTTTGCTTGCCACTGGGGCTCCGTACCCCCTTTTTCTTTTTCTTACAGGTAGTTCTTATCGGTATTACGCCTCTTCCTCGCGGGGGACGAGGGGGCGTTAAACGTTTTGTAACAGGGTAAATTACCCTTAATCGATAAGGCGCCAGAGATCGATAACTTTGTCGACTAGCATTTTGGCGCATCGATCTTCGGCCCTAGAAAGAGAGTAGGAGGGGGTATTTCGGGGAGCTATGAAATAGCTGAGCAGTGCGTTGTGTCGGGAGAAGTGGTGTAGTGTTGAAACAAGTAACATCGAGGAGTCCAAGAAGGAAGCCATCAGCAACCAAAGAGTTCCTTCAAACCAATTGACGCCAGGTATTGGACTTTGGTAGTGTTGAGCCTTGGGGGTCACACCCGGCTCAATTTCCGTACTACTTCTCATTTATTTAATTAATGGTAATTCAATTCGTCTTATAATATTTTATTCAATAATAATTTAACTGTTTGAATTAAATTAATTTTGTTAGCCTTGAGAATAATTCCTCCAGGGGATTGTTACACCCGAGGAATGTTCCAGACCTCCTGGGTTTGGTCGTGAGGATCTAAGTTATTAATTCAGCTGGTTAATTATAATTAACACCTTTGATTGGCATTAATGAATTCATTTTTATTAACAAATTATTAATACGATTTTTCTGAACATCGAGAAAACATTCCAATCATAGCTCACGACCAGTCAAGCGTCTCTCGGTACCCGAGATCAAGCTAACTACGCAGTAACGGCGTCCATTTTGAGCGCATATTCCATAAGAATTTGTGACGCAGTAAAATTTATAAAATAAATACATGGACTAATTTTAACGATTGAATTACCACTTAATTAATTATTTTATTTTATTTATTAATTGTGGAAAATTATTTAATTATTTATTCAGAATAATTTTAATTACCGGAATTGATTGTTGAGAAAACTGCGACGCATTTTAGAAATTTAACACCGTGGATAATTTTCCGTATCTACTTTTTTCACCGAAGTGGATTATTTATTAATTAATCATTATTCACAATTTGTCAGAAAATAAGTATTCCACGGTTTATTAATCATTGAAAATTAATTTAAATTGCGGCGCAAATAAGACTGATACACCCGCAGAAAAGAACTTGAGGCACGTAATTTTCATATTGAGTAAAATTATAATTTATTATCTAATTAATGGCCAAATTCTGCTTGGGGAGTCTTATATATTGAAATATTGTCTTGTAAAAATTTGTCAATAATTTAGTATTGTTATTCCGGTAAAATCATTTATAAAAACTATTTATTCGTGTGGATTAAATCCGAGAAAAATTTAGTTAAAATTACAAAAGAATATTCTAAGAATTTGTTAATGCGCAGAGGTAAGCTCGTGTTAAATTTGGAAGGAAAAGAAGCGTCGGTTTAAGCCGGAAATTTTAAGAAGTAAAATTTATTAATTTATGAGAATAAATTCAGGAGTTTTTATTTTGCGAGCTAATGACTGATAAGTTTTAATGAGAATCTAAAGTTGACATTTTTCGGAGTTAATTGTTGTAAATCCGGAAATAAATTAGTAAAGTAGAGTCGGTGTGTGTGTGAGACGTGTAGGGTATGTGTGTGTGAGTGCTACCAGAGTTCCTTCGCAGTCGTGCAGTCCGTTGCGAGGTGTTTCTCTGGCGTAGAGCGTGAGGGTCCGGTGGACAGCGCGACGTAAGGGGTATGTGTGTGAGAGAGCTGCAGAGGCTTCTTGGCTTATGTTGCAGTCACTAGGCTGTTGCTTCTGTAGCAAGGCGTTATTGATAAGCCCTCGTGCACTGCAGTCTTTGTACGAGGTGTTTTATTGATAAGTAGTTCTAAGTCGGAGTAGCCGGTTCCAGCCCGAAATCCTCCAGTAGTTATAAGTTGTAGTAGCGACTTCCCGGTGGGAAGCGTGAAGTAAGAAAATCGTAGTCATAAGTCGTAGTTGTAAGTGAGTAGTGTAAGTGAGTTGGGAGTACGTACAAGTGTACGAGTTGTTATTTTATTGTAAATAAATTTGGTACCGTTGTTAATAAAAATATATTTATTTCAGACCACCTTTCTCTCTCTCTCTCTCTCTCCCTGTAGAATAAGTAGCTCAGCTCTGGCATCCGGTTCCAGGAACCGAGAAAATAATCCTGGTGGCGCCCTATTTAACTTTAAGATCATTTGTTGCTATTTTGTTGTTTATTAAATTTAAATAATAGGGCTAATCGTACGGGAAATAAACCACCCGTTACAGTTTAAATAATTGGTTGAGCTCGTGCCGCTTCTATTGGTATCAGAGGTTCTTGCTGAACAATAACAATAACTGACGGCTGATTCGACGAGCTACTGCTTTGATTATTATTAGCATTGTTATTGTTATTATTATATGAGTTGTTGTAAGAGTAATTCACCCGCCCGCGATTTGAGCGATTACGGGGATTAAAATTTGGGTGGTTCCCAGATTGTGAGTAAAAGGAATTGTTACTTCCGACAGCTGGTGGATTCGACTGTGCTTGGCCAAATAATTTGTGACAATTTTGTCTATCATGACCTGATCTGAAACAATTGGTACATACGTCAATCTGAATATTAGTACATGCAACAAACTCATGTCCATATTGCCCACAGTTAAAACAAAAATCTCCAGAGGGCGAGTTAATTGTAGTTTGGCGGTTATTATCCATATTATTGGTGGCTTCCTCGTAAGAACGCGGGTAATTATTGTTCGCATAAGGGTATGATACTCTATTACCTTGTTGTTGATTTCTTTGGGAATGACGAGGCTGATTATTATTTCTGGCATAGCTTTGAGGTGCATTGCTCGCTGATGCGCATACTACCAAGCCTCCAGCTTCCTCTCTTATCTCCTCTATCACCAGAGGGAATGTTTGATTTCCCGTTAATATGGATACTTTTGTACCCGGGAGATCTTGTAAGGCTGCGAGACGCGTTTTTTCTTTAGGCTTGGTTGAGGGTTTATCAGCTGCCGAAGAGTCAAATAATCTGCTGTTTTCTTCGTTTGATTGTGACGCTTTATGTATCGTCTCTAAAAGAGAATCATAATCTTCTACCGCTCTGGAAAATATTAACGTCCTCAACTTATTTGGTAAATGGTTTTGTATAACCTCCACTTGTTCTTTAACTGGTGGTGGTGTTTTCATTTCCCAATATTTGCTTTGCATTCTGAAAACAAAGTCTACGGGAGACTCGTTCTCATTGGGTTTGAACTATCTCTAAGAGTATCTGCGTGTCAGTCTTCTGCGAGCCATATATTCTCAAAAAGTCTCTTTTAAATTGATTATAATTTTCCCACCGTAGGTAGTTTTTATTGTACCATTCTGAGGCCTTATCTATCAGCAAGTATGCCATAATTTTTAACAGGTCATCCTCTGACCACTTTTCCCGAAAAGCCGTGGCTTCAGCTGATGCGAGGAAATTATTAGCAGATACATGACCTTGAGGGTACCTAGTGGTCCAGACTTTTAAAAGAGCATGTATGTCTCACCATTTCTTCTCGTGAGCATAGGTTGCGCGGTCAGCTTCGTAGTAATTTGATGTATTAGGGTATAGACCCGTAGGTGCATTCGACAAGTGAGCTGACTGTCTCTCCCCACCCCCAAAACTGTTGCGCGGGGTAACAGTTTGAGGAACTGTGGCAGCTGCTTGCTGAGTATTATTTAAACTCAATCTTTGGAACAGTTCAAATAATTGTCCCATCATATTTACATCCAGTGTCTGGGTTTGAGCCGGTACTGGAACTGGACCAGAAAAAGCGTTACCTGGTAATCCCTGAGCTGGTTGCTGTGTATTATTATTGAGCTGACTGCTTGGTAAAAATATATTGTCTCTAGAATCAGACAAGGTGTCTAGGTTTTGTCTGAATTCTGCGGATCTATCTAGCATTGAGTTAACTTGTTCACTAGAGATTCCTAAAAAGTTCACGCTACGGCTTCTTTGAGGTAATGCAGAACTTATCGGGTTGTTTATAGAGCTTGTTGTTTGGGTTGTTGTTATATTATTTGAATTTCTGGAGCTGGTCGTCGTGATGTTACTTATTATATTTGAAATTAACGAACCGGCTGTAGTTATTACGTGTCTTATGGTTGATGGAATGGTACTAGGAACTGAGGTTGTAGTATTTGTTAGATTAACAGACGACATTTGGCTGGAGGCCGATGTCGCGGTCGTTACTACATTGCTTCCTACTGTTGAAGTAGGCCTGGTGGTACGTGTGGGGGAGTGAAGGACACGGGTATTATTACCCTGGTTTATTATCTCTACCACATCGCTACCCGAACTAGAGGCCGCATTTCGTCTTGTTTGACGAGTATTCATTGTTGTGTTGTTTTGAGGCTGCATAATTTATTTGTATTTTTCAAATTTTAATTTATAAGTTTTTGTCAGTTAAATTTTTCGGCTCCGAGAGTTATTTTTACAGAGAAGAAATTTTTAATTTATTACTTAAGTTTTATTATCATTATTGTTATCATTTTTCCAGAGAGAGTTTGTTGAACAAAGAAAGAAATAATTTATTCACTTATAGTTAAATTTTTGAGATTAGAATTTTCCAAAAATTTTTGACCAAGGACAGTTAATTTATGATTCTGTCCGTTTTAAATGTTCGAATTATTACTAATTCTCTTCTTAGAACCAATTACTTGTATTTATTTTTAGTTAAGTACTGCAGGGGATTAAATTCTGTGATTTCTATTGAAACATTTCTTGAGGATTTACGACCATTACTCATCCAATATACTATTTCTATTTTCAGATTTTAATCCTTAATCTCCGAGTAAAACTTTTGTACTCAGTAAGTTTACTGCAAACCGAATTATTCACTTTACTTTCTTTATCTCTTAATTTGTTTTTAATTTAGCATGCATATGAGTACTCGTACAATTTTCTTATGACCAATTTACGTGTCTGTTGGGGAATTTTCCCGCCAATTTGTCGCGTTATTTATAATTTTAATGCTATTTTCTACAGATAAAACACTAGTTTTAATCCCTAGGGTTTTTCCTCACGTTTTTTTCTTTTCCTCTCTTTGTTCTCTAGCTATTTTTAAGTAATCTAATTTTTTATTAATTAATGAATTTATGTTGGGCGCCAAATATAACACCTCTCCCTGATCCCCGTGCCAAGTGATCAGCGAGCAGGGTTAAGAACAAATATAATATACAATCATTAATAATAAGATTATAATTACCGTAATCTCAGGCGTGGACAAAATTCACCGGGCACGCGGTGTACTTATTAAACTACTTATTACTAAATAAAATCAAGGATATTTATACGTATTTTAATAATACAATATTTATAAATAATTACATTTTATTGATAAGAATATTCAATGAGTTACATACTATTTAATAAAGAACTAGTGTAGAAAAGCAATAATAAAGAGAGTTATCTGAAAAGGCTAGAGAGGTTGCCAGAAGGGCCTAGAACCGTTTAGAACAGAAAGAGAGGAAAATACTCACGTATCGTTTACTAATCAACAAGAACCTTTAATATATCAACCATTATTAATTAATAAACAGGAGTATAAAACTTACAGTTGGTATTGTACGCCTTGACATCCTGGTAGACAACTCACAAATTAACTAATATAAATTTTATTAACAAAACTGTGATAAATGTACGCTTAAGGGAAAAGATGTTGTTGAGTAGAGTGAACTCCTCTGAATGAATCAATCTGCCCGCCTCGATAAGAAATGAGGGCCTCAGGCCCTACTGAGCAGCGACAGCGCGCATGGCTCCGAAAGCAACCGACCGACCCGAGGTTTTTTGCTCTTAATCCAAAATATCTCAGAAGATGTCCCAACAAAGCTCCTGTTAAAAACGGACCTCAAAATTTCAATTCTAAGAGGTCCTTCATCGAACTTAAAGTTTTTCCGTTTAAATAACATGAGAAATACGATTTTTATTAGTTTTTTGTCCTGCAAACTGTGATGAAATTATTTTTCAAAAAAACAAATGAATGAACCTTGTTTATTATTAAATTTGGTACAAAAAATTCTTTTGAGTCGAATTTCTATCTTCAATATTTGATTTGTTATACAACTTTGAAATTCAAATTTACGGTTTTTTGCGGTTTTTTTGCGTTTTTTGCATAAACTGTAAGAGTTAGACAAAAATAGCAGATGGCAAATTTGTAGTACTCTTAATATTCTTTAAAAAAGTTTTAGTCAATTTTTTTGTATCATCAATAACAACAAAGTTACAGGCTCATGTATATTTATCCTTTAAATTAAAATACATGAAAGTCTTGAAGTTAGTCAAAGGTCGAAACCCGCAAAAAAACGGGCCACGATTCCTTATTGGTTGAAAATAAGGTGCGCGCGTAGCGCGCTATTTAAATTTCTAGTATTTTTTTAAATTTTAGCTTTTACGAACTGATATATTGATAATTAAACAAAAAATTTGGTGCAAAATTGTTAACACATTTAACTTGCAACAAAATTAGCTGAGTAAAATGTTGCGTAGTATCAAACCATAAAATTTACAGACTGAGTCAGTTATATTTTTATGATTTTTCAATTATTTTATAAAATATATTGATAAAGGACATAACATATCATTATGATTTCAAAAGCAAATACAATTCACAATATGATTGCAGTTATTTTTAGTGAAATAATTTTTAAAATTAGCTTAAAATGTGCAAATATTTATATCTTTACACTTTAACTGATATTTCATTCACTATTTCAATATTCTGAAAATGATTTGTTCTGATTAAAAATTTTTAATAAAATCACGTTTATTGGACTATTGAAGATTTGAATTAAAATTTTTTCGGTTACCGGAAAATCCTTACTGAGTAAGGTCTGCCCTTTCCCTTTATCATTTATTTCCCCAGTTCCCAAATTTGCCTTTAATGACAAATTTAGCTTTGAATTATGGCTGAAATTTTTTTGGTCAGATATGACTGAAATTTTTTTTTATCATGTTTGGTTTTGGAGAAATCCTAAGGAAACTACCAAAAAAAAAATTAGGAAAACGGTTGACCCTAAAGCCATCCCTGCAACTTCCCGCTAACTCCATACCTAAACGCTCAACATTTCACTTTTCTTAGCGGGAAGTTAAAAATTTTTTAATTTTTTTCTTGTCTAAAAAAAGTTTTACGGGCTTCAAAAAATTTTTTTCCATCATTTCACTCAAAAGCTCTTTTAGAAAATTCAATTTCCTTTGATTTGACGTGATTGAAAAGGATGCACAATGATTTGCTGTGGAGTTATAGTCAATCAAATCAAAAAAGTTGTTTTAACTTTGATATTCAATAACTCTGGGAAAAATGATCACATAGGAAATCGAAGGAGCGTTTTAAAAACTACACGATATTCCCCATAAGATACCGTGAATAGCTCTTAACGACAAAATGTTTTCTCAGTAGTTATTTTTTTTCGAAAATTTTTTTCAATATTTTCTTGATTATTTCCTACTGCTGTTTAACGTCGGCATTAGCGTTACCCAAAACGTACCACGTGAAGGTTTCTCGATTGAATGGTCATATCTGAAAACTAGTTACTTGGGGCTACAATTTGCTTTTTTTTTTGCTGTACGATCATTTTCCTCAAAATTACAGCTCGTTGAAAATCACCCAAAAATTTAGCATTTTTGTTAAATCTCTTCATTTTTGTGACTAGTGTATTTTAATTTGATCAGTTCATGAAAAAGATTACGTAAATAGTGGAAATCTTATAAAAATTCTTATAAACAATCTTATTAACAACTTTTGCTTATCACAGAAAAAATTATACTTTTTCAGCCACAGAAAAATAGCTTTTTTGAGCGAAGAAAAAATTGATGCTACTAATATTAGAAGAAAGGTAAAATAACACCTTAGCTACCAGAAGGAAGAGCAGTAGCTATATCCTCCCCTCACGAAGTAATGCCTAACGGCGGTTCCCATGAGGGATTAGAGGAAAGAGGAAAGGGGTTTAGGGTTTAGTGGGTAGGGGCGTTAGCGTCGAGTTTTAGTATGACGCTGCGTCGAGTCGCCACATATCCAGGCCAACAGCTATGCTTAAAATCCGTAAAAAGGATTCCCCCCCCCCAAAAAAAAAGAAAAAACACACACACACACACACATACATACATACATACATACATACATACATACAGACATAGTGACACCCTCGCGAGGATAGTCAGGGAAGCTTCCTAGGACCTCAAAACG